TGATCTGTTGAGTTTCCTTCCAACCCTAGCATCTATGAATCTATAATTCTTCCCTGTTTGTGAACAGCAGATCAAGAAGAGCACAGCCCCTAGTTGGCCTAACCAGTCTTTGGCAATCCCTCACAGTCAAGAATGATTGTCTTGCATGATTATTTATCTGTGTTTCTGAAGATGGCTCATGAGGTTTATCTGGGATCAACAGACTCTACTCCACCTTGGAAATATGTTTCCGTGTGGGGCAGGTGGCTCTGGATTCTTGATTTGGTCCACAACATGCTGTTTCTGTTGCTCCTGCTTTTCCGTCTCCTGTTGTGAGGTTTAAAAATATTGACGTCCCTGCAGCAGACCACAGCATTTGGGGAGGTCCTGGGTGATAGTCTCCCACAATTTGACATTGATGTTGCCTTTTTTAAAGTTGTCCATCAGGACATCCCTGATGCATTTTCTCTGCTCTCCTCTTGAGTGTATGCCTTTGCTGACCTGGGAACTTGCTTTGGGTGTCTAGAGTCAGACATCTGGATGACATGTACAGCCCAAAGAAGTTGATGCCAGATGATCATCACCTCAATACTCGTGATGTTTGCTTACAGGAGAACATTAACGTTAGTGCATCTGTCTTCCTGCTAGATTTGAAGGATCTTCCACAGGCAGCATTGATGGTACTTCTCCAACAACTTTAGATGTCTCCTATATGTTGTCCATGTCTCAGCTCCATACAGCAAAGTGGGGGATCAGAACTGCTTAATAAACCATAAGCTTGGTTTCAGATCTGATGTCATGATCTTTAAACACCCATTTTTTCAGACACCCAAAGGCTGAACTTGCACATTTGAGGCAATGTTGGATTTCTTTGTCAGTGTCAGCCTTTTGTGAGAGAGAGCTTCTGAGGTATGGGGAATTCTCAGTGTTCTCCAGAATATCACTATGGATCTGGAGTACTAGAGCTGGGGACTGTTCATTAGGAGTTTGTGGGTGGAGGACCTTAGTCTTTTGAATGTTAAGTGTCAGCCCCATTTTCTTGTATGCCTCGATAAAGACGTCAATGATTGCCTGAATATGTGCTTCCAAATCAGCACACACAATAACATCATCATCATACTGGAGCTCAATGATTAAGGTCAAGGTGGTCTTGGTTTTGGCTCAGAGTCGGCTGAGGCTAAACGGCTTACCATCCATTTGGTACTTTAGCTCCATTCTGGCTGCAAGCTTTTTGGTGGTCAGATGTAGTATTACAGCAAAGAGTACTGAGAAGAACGTTGGATTGATGATGCAGCCTTGCTTAACTCCTATTTTAACCTTAAAGGGACCCATAACAGATCCATTACTGAGAACAGCTGCTTGCATACCATCACAGAGCAGGCACAGAATGGTGACAAATTTTGGTGGGCATCCATATTTCAGAAGGATCCTCCACAATACTTCTTGGCTGACAGATTTGAAGGCTTTCATGAGGTCAAAGGCCATGTAGAGAGGTTTATGTTGTTCCTGGCATTTTTTCTTGCAGCTGGTATGCAGTGAAGATCATGTCAGGTGTTCCTCGTGATGCCCTAAACCCACACTGAGATTCTGGGAGGAGCTCTTCAACAAGTGGAAGGAGATGATTCAGGAGGGTTCTTGCAATGATCTTTCCTGAGGTAGACAGCAAGGCAATCCCTCTTCAGGTTCCATACTCAGACTTGTCTCTTTTCTTGAAGACTGTCACAATCATGCCATCCCTGAGGTTTTCTGGGTTTTTCTTATCATTCCAGATCCTTAAGATGAGTGCAGAAAACTGTGATGTGAACTCCTCTGCCCCCTGCTTGAAGATTTCCACGGGGATTCCATCTGCTCCAGATGCCTTGTTGTTCTTCATCTGCTTGATGGCTTTCCTCAACTTGTCAAGGATTGGACGGATTCCGAGATCATCTCTGATTGGGTGTTGCAGGATGGAGTTGAGAACACTGTCATTAACAATAAAGTGTTAATTGAGAAGGTCTTCAAAATGCTCCTTTCAAAGGGCATTGATGGCTCCCCTTTCCTTGATCAGCACTCCTCCATCCTTTGGTCTCTAGGGGGTTGGTCCCTGAATGCTGGGACTATAGATGGCTTTGGTGGCACTAAAGAAACTGCCCATATCATGTACATCAGTGAGATGCTGGAGTTGGTATTATTTTGCCAAGCACAAAAGGCCTTGTGATTGATGAACTCTTGGATCTCCTGGTCTTTCCCATCAACCAGTCTTGATGTTTCCAGATAGAAAATCCAAGTGTCTCTTCACATGCATTGATGACAATGCCTTTGAGGGCACTCCACACACCTTTGACATTCTCCCATTGTTGTTGATTGGAATTCACCAGTTTTCATTAAGGTACTGGTGGAAGAGGTCTTGCTTCCTTGGGCCCTTGGGAGTCCTTCAATGATGATCTTCCATTGACATTGCTTCTGCCTCAGCCATCATTTGGGAGAAAGTTTGAGTGACATAACTGAGTGGATGAGTTGGTGATCAGTCCAGAAGTCATCAGTTCCTAGCATAGCTCAGGTGATGTGGATATCTTTGTGATCCTGGTCATGAATGAAGACATAGTCAATCCAGGTGCCAATGCTTATATCATGAGTGTTGCCATGATGTCTTGTGCCTATTTTTCTGGTGGAACAAGTTGGTGATGGTGAGTCCATGTTCTGTGCATTTGGCCAAGAGGAGGATGCCACTGGAGCTGACATTTCCTACTCCTTCCTTGTTGATGGTTCCATTCTAGAGATTAGAGTCCCTTCTGACTGTGGCATTGAAATCACTGAGAAGAATAAGTCTCTCTCCCTCTGGAACATTAGACAGGACTTGGTCAAGGTTGGCATAGAATTCCTCCTTGGTTTCATCAGCAGTGTCACAAGTCAGGGCATATGCGCGAGTCAGTGGAGTATTGGCTCCCTGCCAGTTTAAGATGAAGAGTCATGAGGCGTTCACTAATTCTGATAGAAAACTCACTGAGTTGGTTTATGAATTCATTTTTAATGGCAAAACAAACTCTGTGAACTCCACATTCTCCTTCCTGTTTATCCTTCTGTTGACTGGGGGTATGCAAATTAGCTAACTAACTCACCTATCAGATGAAAGTGGTGGAAGAGCTTACTCTTGCTAAGTTTAAACCTACAGCCTGGGTTTAACTGGTGACAAAGGAGCTTAAACAAATTCAACAGACTTAATTTAGAGTGAAAATCACAAGACTATATTTTAAAACAGTATTAATTAGCAAACAGTAATGAACAACACCAAATACAGAATTAACAACAGGGAAAGGACAGAAAACAAAGGAATAAAAAGGAAAGAAAGAGAAAGCTAGATAGCAAAGCTCTTTTCTTGCCCAACATTTGCAACAATGTTTGATTGCAGGTAAAGGCTTATTTCACAGGGACTTACAGACTCCCTTAGCCACAATGGTGAGTCAACCAACATTATTTTCCCCTTTCCTCTCAGGAGTAGTCCTCTCACAAAGGCTCCGTTCCTTTAATAGGGATGGGTAATACTTTACCCTTCCTATGGGTGGAGGTGATAGCTGGTCTGCAGTTATCTGCAACATCCCCTGAGGAGCTGAGCTCACATCCAGAAGAATCATGTTCAACAATCAGCAACTGTCATCCAGACCCACAGTTCACACCAATACATTTACCTTACACAACAATTACCCCCACACACATGCAAATGAACCCAGTCTTACTTGCACCAAACAAATGTTTGCACACCAAGGTCTCACTCACATGCTGATTGAACTCTCACACACCAAACCTTGAGGGCATGCTCTTTATAGCCCTTAATCATATCTTTTTCAAGCCAATCACATTCCTAGGACTTATGCCAATCCTTCCCTCAACCAACTGATTTCAGTCATTTCTTTGATAAACATGTATACACTTTCCAAACTTCATCCAATCAGAACGTTAATCACCTTAGGAAGTGAATCTTCTGTCTCACAATTTGGCACCAAAACTTGTTTGTCACTTGTGCACAAACTGGGCATACTCACAACTCTTAAATAGGATAATAGTTCAAAAGTTCAGACCTTCTCAAACCTACTGGTCCTGAACACTGTTGAGTATATACAACTTCAGCTTAACGTAAGTGACAAAACTAAGGCCAGGGACACAGAGGTCTGTGGTAACACTTCCAGAAGAAGGTATAGCCACCTCCAATGTTCTTTGAGCTTCCCATCTCTCATTCACTGGGTCTTACTCAGTGCAGCTACATTAATGTTGTGTCACCTGAGTTTTTGGGCCATGATTGCAGTGCAGCACTGAGTGTTCACTGTTAGGGTTTCCACGAAGGTCCTGATGTTCCAGGTCCTGAAAATGATGGTGTGTGTTCACTGGTATTTTTGACCATGGTAAAGCTGATCCACTGGATGCAGTTATCCAGTCAGGAAGAAATAAAGAATACTGTATTAGACAGGCTATGTTTAGGGCACTTTTCCTAGACCCCTCCCCATATGGGGTGAGCAGAGGATCCTGAAGAGGACTGTCCAGTCACAGTTGCAGCAGCCAAATCACGCTCTTACCTTGTCCAAGTGCTAGACAACCTTCTTGTAACAGCTGCTTCCATGCCAGTTCATGACTAGGAGCTTCCAGACCTCACAATCCTGCTTTTGTTGGCATTAGCTGGTCACCAAGGACTTGAGGAATGTGCCGGAAAATATCTTTTCATGGAAGATGCCTCTATGTGACTTCTTTTATTGTGGAGAAGCTGCTGCACATTAGCTTCCATATGGCTCTTGACAGAATAGAACCTTGATCTAATGGCAACAAGACCAAGACAACTGAGGATTTCATTCCGCAACGGCCTTCATCTTCCTTCACAGCTGTTGAGAGTCTAACATCTTCTTCCACCTGCTCTTCACTGAGAACTTGCAGGCCCATAGCTGGGGGCTGGGTACACTTATTATAGTGGTGACCTGTACTTGCCATGTCACAGCACCATCAAAGGATATATGTGGCTTTTCAGGAGGGAAGCTATTGCCATCTACTATCCTCACCACATCCTGGTGGTGCTGCCACTGCTTTGTCTGCATCTGCTTATTTGTCAGAGTTACCCCTGAAGGTCAGCTGTGTGTAGGAAGGTTAGCTGTGGCCTCTACAGTACTTTTCCCCAACACTCTCCAAAAACATTCTGGATTGCTGTGCCTTGCTGCATTCCCCTCCCAGAAGATGTCAGGGTGACTGAAGTCCCCCATGAGAACCAGGGCCGGTGATAGGGAAATTTCTGCTAGCTGTTTGAAGTAAGCTTCATCTACCCCATCCTCCTGGTCTGGTGGTCTGTAACAGACACCAACCACAACATCATAACCCTTGTTGCTCTCCCCTCTGACTCTAACCCAGAGACTTTCAACAGGCCTATCTCCAGTTTCATGCTGGAGCCTCTGAGCAATCATACAGTTCTTTAACATAAAGCACAACTCCTCCTCATCTTCTCCCCTGCCTGTCTTTCCTGAACAGTTTATACCTATCCATGACAGTGCTCTAGCCATGTGAGCTATCCCATCAAAACTGTTATACCATTCGTGTCATAGTTCTGTAGCTGTGCAAGGATTTTCAATCCTTTCTGCTTGTTTCCCAGGCTCTGTATATTCATGTATAGGCACCTGAGGTAACTAGCCAATTGCCCTACTTTCTCAGGAAAAATGAAAATACCTCCCCTGTTGCCACCTTCTGCTTGCGCTTCCTCCAGGTTACCCACTTCCCCATTTACCTCAGGGCTTTTGTCTCCATTCCCTGGTGAACCTAGTTTAAAGCCTTCCTCACTAGGTAGAGAGCCTGTCTACTGTTAGACCTCAACTCCATGCAATGTCTAATGACTGGATAGCAATGGGCCAGCACATGGATTGGCTTCACAAAGCAGCTTTATTGTGAGACAGCACTCGAGACACCCGTAACTTGAGTGACCTAGAGTATCTTTTTTAACAGTCTTTTATTAAGCTTGATTTATATAGACCCCACCTTGTTCCCTCCCTTTCCCCACCTTCTTCCCTCCCATCTTACAATCCCGCCCCTGCTTACTATTTACCTGCTTTGCATATTATGATATCCCCTATATGGTACTTTATTTCTGCCCCTACAATGACCATCGGTGCTCTTTGTCATTGCTAAGCATTGCTAGGGATGCTATCTACAGCACATTCTTGTTGCTTCTTGTTCCCCTTTCCTGCAGATCTGTAACCTTCAGCTTTTTATCTTATCTTACTTTCCACTACCCTAACTTCTACAAAGATGCTCTTCCCTCTCTTCATCGGGTAGCTACTATCTCTTCCTAGCAATCCTTCTTCTTGAAACAACCTGTGGTCAAAGAAGCCAGTGCCCTGCTGGCAACACCATCTGTGCAGCCATGCATTGATTTGTAGGTTGCATCTGCTCCTGCCTGTGCTCTTTCACTTGACCAGGAGGATTGAGGAGAATACCACCTGAATCCTTTTCCCCTTCACCTTTGCACCCAAAGCCCTGTAATTACTCTTGATCTGCTCAGGGTCTCTGCTGGCAGTATCATTGGTGCCAACATGGATGAATAGCATGGGGTAATAGTCAGAGGGCCAGATGAGTCTTGGTAATCCCTCCATGACATCTAGGATCTGGACTCAAGAACAGGTTAGTCTGACAGATGGATGCCTCTGTCCCCTTCAAAAGGGAGTCTCCAACCATCACCACCCATTGCTCCTTCTTGGTGGAAGTGGTCTTGAACCTTCCAACCTTGGGAAGGCCTAACTTTGTCGTCCTCCATAAATGGAACATGCTCCTCTACCTCTGTTGTTAGGGCTCCATATCTTTTCTCTAGGCAAACTGCTGTAGGTGGAGATGAACACTCCTGCTTGCTACCAGAGGTCACAAGCTTCCAGCTTCCACCTTCCTAGGAGTCCATGTCCTCGCCCTTCTCTAGTGCTGCCTTTGGCAATACTGTTATGGTAGCTTGTTATAGTTAGCCTTAGTTAGACCTGTTTGAGTTGTGCATAACAGTTTTATTTGAACTGTTTTCATTCTGTATCTTCATTGTCAGGTATAGCTTTGGGCTTGCTTGTACCTTATGTTTTTATACAGTCAGTATGAGAAGGCCACTGTAAGACTTCACCTGTGTTCTACTGTCAGCATAGGCATGTAGGATGTGGCCTTCCCACTAGTGTAAGCTAGGTAAACTTGGCACCAACCGACTGAACTAGAGGGATGTAATGATTGGATATGTTAATGAAAGGTGATAAGAGGGGACCAATTGGACAGTGCCCAACTGCAGAGCCCTTGGGATTTCCAGTTTTGGTGGATGGAACAAATTAAGACGCCAGTAAAAGGCCAAGTTAAGATGTGATGGTGTGGAAGCAAAGAAAACTTACCAAGGGGGAACCCTGGAAGTAGGTGCCCCAAAAGCTCCCCTCATGGTACCTGGGTAAAACATGGAAGCCTGCTAAAGGCCAGAGATTTCCCACTTGCTTGCATAAGAACTGTGGCAGCGGCTGAATGGGAGGAGAAGTGGAAGCTCCACTTTGTAAGTTCCTGCTTGCTGTGCATTGGAGGACACTTGGGAGTCACCAGTATATCTGGATATCTGGCTCAAGCAGGAGGGGGAGATGGAGCTGCATGGAGGCATTGCACAGAGCTGTGCCAAAGCAGGAGCACAGGCCGTGCCGCTGAAACCAGTGAGGGGAAAAACTGTAGCTGGGGAGCTCAGAGGAGCACCCAGCATTAGGCACCTGGACCCCCAGAGAAGTGGCGGGAAGAGCAAGCCCCGGAGGACCCTCTGGGAGATGGGCAGAGAGAGGAAAGACTTATCTTTTCTTTCCGGTGACTGCCCATCATAGCAAATGAATGGAGGGGACACTGAATGAGTTTGAAGTATGTAAGTGACTTATGAACTTTGATCTGGTATATGGACTGCCTGGGAAGTTAACTGAATTAATTGATTGCCAGGGTAGGTGATTAAGTGATTTATGTATGGGACTACCCGAGAATTAATTGGACTAGCTGATTTGTGTAAGGAATCATGGGTGAAATTAATAAGGCCGAGTGATTGATTTAATGAACTGCAGTTGAAATTTATTGGGCTAATAGATTTATTTGAACAATGAATCAAGATGTAAATTGATTCCTCTGTAAAATGAATGAATGTCAAGACTTTGCTTTGGAGTTTCATTGATTGTTGTTTATTTATAAGATGCCATTTTGGGGTGGAAGTCCATGGCCAACAAAATTTTGGCCTCAACTGACTTTCTTTGTTGTTGAACTTTTGAGTTAAGAGCAACTAGTGAGCTAAGGCCAGGAGGGTACACCACCCCATGAGTTGGAGATTGGGCACCAGTTTAATATCCAGTTGGCAAGTGGAAGGAGTGTAAGGGGAGGTATGTCATCTTCGTATGCAGCTTGCACTGGTTGTTGTGAATGACCAAGGACTCTCCCATTAATATTCAAGACTAAGACATGGCAGGTGAGAAGAGGGCCAAACCTCATGAGTGTGATGCACTGAAGACCACTCAATCTGTCTACTCCAACAAGTCAATGCCCCAGGGGTTGGAGTGCACATGCACAATAACATAGTGCATGCTGGCAGCACTACTCACAGATGGGTTGGTTGGAACAAAGGAATAGTCTGACAGGATAGGACGTGGACAGTTATGATGATTATAGGGAAATCAATCAATGGTCCTGGGAATAAAGAGTCATCAGAGGAGTGAAGTTAAAGAAAAAGCATAAAAGGAGGCAGGGAGAAAAGTTAAGTGTGTGTTGTCATCATCATCAACATCATCTGGCCGACTACATCTGAATTCTATCAGCCAGAAGATCACCAAGACACAACCATCATCTATCTTCAGAACTACTGATTGGCCATTGGTACATGAGGTGGGGAAACCTTGGAGTGGGTGAGATCATTGATTTAATGTTTTTTCTCTCTGTATAGAAATTACCAACATAACTTTTTATGTATTAATAAAGAGTTAGATTTTAGTTGAGTTTAAATTGGTGTTTTGCTTATTCCATGTTCACTCTGAGTTGGTTGACCTTAGCAATCCTTTATCACCATCTGCTGGACAGATTGGTGTGGTGACAGACTCCAACTTCCTGGAAGTCTATGTCCTCTTCCTTCTCTAGCACTGCCTTTCCACCCCAGTCCTAGAGGTCTCCTCCAGCACGGAGTCAATGAAGCCCTCATGACAGAGAATGGCTTGGACCCTTACCACCTCCTCCGGTAGCTCTCTTGCCTGCTCCCTGAGGGACACCATGAGGAGGAGGCATTGTTCACATCACTGGCATGCCCCCACTTGGCTGTCACTGGAGGGAACCTGCAAGCTGCAGTCTCCACAGCATCAAACCAGGACCTGTGTGGAAACCTTAATGGTGAGTGGTCCTGCCTGGACAGACATCTCACAGGTACAAGCAGAGGCAGTAGGAGTGGCTCTGGGTAATGTCCTCCAGCCATTTCTCTGGGTCTCTGAATCTGCCGCCTCTCTTTTACTGCCCTTCTTCCAAGCAGACCTTCCCTAGCAAACTCACCTGTAATCTGGCCTGTTTACCGCTTCTTATTCCTGCAAGTTTTCTTTTCCCCTGCTTCCTCTCACTAAGCTTAAAGGCTCCCCTTCAAAGAAAGGGTCGCAAGCTGACCTGTGAACTGCTTGCAAGTTGCTTCCCTTGGTCACTTGCTCCCTGGTTGCTCAGGGATTCTCCTGGGACTAGAATGACTCCTCCCCCTTGTTAGGGCTTTTGTCAAACCCGGGCAACAATCACTCAGCAATCACCAAGGAAACAATTCAATAAACCTTTTCAATTTTAATGAGCCATTAATCTGTCTCTTTTCTATACTTGCACTACCCACTGAAGCTGGACTTCTTAGTGACAAAGGTGTTATTTGTAACCCTTGCTGCCCCTTTCTTAGTTCCTAATAAAGGCACTGATTAGTACTAATTAGGGCTGCTCCAACATTATCATAATAGAATGTTTCCCAAGGAATGTTTATGTTAAAAATTCATTTTTTTCTCTATTCTGGAAAATGCTACAATGACTGTAGAATTGGTGAAAT